CTCCATCTCTTTCACCTTGCATCTCCCTAGTTCTTGCATGGTGAAGGCGAAGCACTTCCTGTGCCTGGCCAACAGCTCCTGCATGGCCTCTTTCCCCTCCTTGCTCATCGCCTCTCCCACCACCCATTTTTCCTCCTCCTTCTCCTGGCAGCTCCACGCTCCCCGGGGCACTGCCTCTACCTCTCCCTCCCCTTCCTCGTGCCCCCAGCTTACGACCGTCTCTCGCCACATCCGCTGGATCAGCCACCTCAGGGCGTGGCCATCCATTGCATTCCCCAAAGCCCTCCTTCTGTCTGCCTCGCTCACCCCTGGGGCTGCTGTTGCATCTTCCCTATACCCCATAGCCAGCTCCCGCTCTAGTGCCGTAGGTTCCTCCCATTTCCGTCTCCTATGATCATACACCATGCCCGGCCCCGGCTGCCCTGCTTCCCACTTGTACCCTGCCGCTCCCGCCTACGCCACCAGGGTAGGCAGGGCTCGTCTCTCCTGCCCAATTTGGTTGCAAGGATAATGCCTGTGGTAGCTCTTGCGACACACCGGTGTTGGGGTCCGCCTTGGTGCCATGATGTCCTGCACCTTTCGTTCCGTTGCTCGCTGCACCCCATTCATCTCTTCCTGCAGTTTCATGGCCGGGACCACATTCTGCCAATACATCCTGAGCCGGTATGCATAGGACCCGGTCCTGGCCGCAGCACAGCTCACCCCTTTCCCCAGCTGCCCCTTGATTCTCTCTCTCACCAATCGGATCGGCTCCCTGCTGTCTCCTTCCAGATCCGGGTTTTCTAGAAAGTATGCCACCCTGCCCTGCCTCTCCTGCAGCCACTCCATGATGCGGAACAGGTCTTCCATCAACCTTGTCCTAGGATCCTCTCCTCCCCTCCAAGACGCGGGCCGCCCCGCCGACGGACACCTCGACGGCGACGCTTCCTCTGCTCGCCGAGGTCGGTGAGCAGGCTGATGAGGATGCCGCGGTCGCCCCTGCCTCGCCATCCCCTGCCCCTTCTTCCCGTCCCCTTCCCGTCGAACTGGGTGGCCTGACTTCGGTGTCGGCCTCCGGCGATGAGGGGAGCCGTGGGGCATCGCCTGTGGCGCCGGCCGAGAGCATCGCCGGTGGCCGACGTGACGCCCAGCCAGCCGCGGAGAAGCGGGCCGCGGAGGAGACCGCGGAGGAGACCTCGGAGGAGACCGCTGAGGAGCCCGCGTCTAGCAGGCAGCTGACAGGGGAACAGGCAGCAGCTAAGCCGACCGCGGAGCACTTGGCAGGGGAGCCGTCGAACGGGAAGCGCGTTTCAGAGAAGCCGTCGATAGGAGAGGCGTCGAACGGGAAGCGCGTTTCAGAGAAGCCGTCGATAGGGGAGCCGTCGAACGCGAAGCGCGTTTCAGAGAAGCCGTCGACAGGGGAGCCGTCGAACGCGGAGCTCGCTTTAGAGGAGCGGATGACAGGGGAGCAGTTCGATGAAGGCACGTCGAGCGACGTGGTGGAGGTGCAGCCCGGACCTCGGAAGTCGGGCCAAATTCGGAGGCCACCCGACTTCTTCGTCCCCGCTGCCTTCACCACGGTCTACGATGTGGACGACGACGACCTGGCGTACGATGACGCCGAGGACGATGAGGAGTTTTCGGAGCTCGACCGTGACATGCACGCCGATCCCGAGCACCGTTGGGACATTTCGACCATGACGGTGAAGGAGGCGTTGGCGAGCTGGAAGGGCCCGGTGGTGAAGGCCGCCATGGAGGAAGAGATTCGTAGCCTCATCAACATGGGCACTTGGGAGCTGGTCGAACGCCCGCCGGGGGTGAACATAATGAAGAACCGGTGGGTGTTGACAACGAAGTACCACATCGACGACACTGTCGAGCGCAAAAAGGCGAGGCTGGTCGTGAAAGGCTTCAGGCAGGTGTATGGCGCTGACTACGACGAGACGTACGCGCCGGTGAGCAGCTACGTCATGCTGAGGATTTTTCTCAGCATCGTCGCCGTCCTCGACCTCAACCTGATGCAGCTGGACATGAAAAACGCCTTTTTGCAGAGCAAGCTCGACCGCGTGCTGTACATGTACCAGCCGGACTACTTCAATGACGGGACCGGCCGGGTGTGCAAGCTGCTGAAGAGCCTCTATAGGCTGAAGCAGTCGCCGCTGCTGTGGTACACGGCTCTCAACGACGTGTTGGTTGGCGCCGGGTGGAAGAAGAGCCAAATCGACGAGGCTTTGTACTTCAAGGCCGGAGACGACAAGGTGACCTGCTGGGTGCTGGTCTACGTCGACGACCTTCTCGCCGCGAGCAGCAGCATCGCGATGCTGAAGGAGCTGAAGGAGCTGCTGGAGGCTGCTTTTGAGCTGCGCGAAATTTCGCCGGTGCAGAAGTATCTCGGCCTGGAGATCGTGCGCGACAGGCCGGCGCGAAAACTGTGGCTGCACCAGCAGGGCTACACCGACAAGCTGCGCAGGCGCTTCATTGACGAGGAGCAGACCGGGCGCACTCCGAAGACGCCGGTCTCCGTCGCCGCCTACGCGGAGTAGACATTTGACGACGAGGAAGCGCAGGAGCGCGAGGAGGAGGAGTACCGGCAGAAGGTTGGCTCGCTGCAGTTCGCGGCGACGACGACGAGGCCGGACATCGCATTCGCGTGCAGCAAGCTGGGGAGCGGCCTTACGGTGAGGAGTGATCAGCACTGGCGCAAAGTCGACCGCTGCCTCGCCTACCTCGCCAACACGCGAGACACCGCCCTGGAGTTCGGCGGTGGTCCGGAGTCACTGGAGTTGGTTGGCTACGTGGACGCCGACGACGCCGGCGACAAACAGAACCGGATGAGCACGGGCGGCTACGTGTTCGTCTACGGAGGGGCCGCGGTCTCCTGGTCGAGCCAGCGCATCAAGTGCGCAACGCTGTCATCGACCGAGTCGGAGTACGTGGTGGCCCTCGAAGCCGGCAAGGAGGGACGTCGCCTTCGCTTCCTCCTCGCGGAGTTCCAGCGGCTGGACGCTGGGAAGCCGACTGTCCTCAGAGTGGACAACAAGTCGGCCATCACGGTCGCCGAGGGCATGGGGTTGACGGGCAACCTCAAGCACATGGAGCGGCGACAGGCCTGGCTGCAGCACATGGTGAAGCGCGGGAAATTTTCGCTGCAGTACATCCCGACCGCCGAGCAGCCAGCCGACTTCAACCGGTGCTCCGTTGCAATCGGCCAAGTGCGCCTGGCCGATGTGGGCGACGGTGACAACGACGTGCAGCAGTAGGTGCCATGCCCTCTTGCATGGCTGGTGCGGTGACCGGCGTGCTGTGCGTTGTGTGCACGCTGACGGGCTATTCTCCGAGCAGTGCTGCCGTGTGGGTTGGGGGGGGCCCAAGCGTGAACGCGGCAGGGGAGTGTCAACGGGAGTAGTGTTTGGCCCCTTCCTCGCTTGGGCGGAGCCGACCGCGAAACCGCGGGAGACGCGGGACCGCGGGAGGGCCGCGGGACTGCGGGAGAACCGCGGAACCGCGGGAGAATAGCGGAACCGCGGGAGAACCGCGGGAGAACCGCGGGACCGCGGGAGAACCGCGGGAGACGCGGGACCGCGGGAGGGCCGCGGGAGAACCGCGGGACCGCGGGGCTGCGGGGCAACCACGGGACCGCAGTGGCCGCGGATGGACGACCGGGGCCACAAGGGCCGCGGGATACCCGGTCGACCAGGATACCCGGGCGACGTGGGTGAAAGTCGCCGGGGGTGTTCTCTGCGAGGACGACCATGAGGGTGGTATCCCGAGGTCGACGTGGCTGGTGGGCGCCGTCACGGGTGGAATGTCTGCGCTGGGCATGTGACGGGGAGTTGGGCGCCAACCAGCTGCACGCACCTGCGAAGCAGGTGCACCGGTGTCCCGCGGATGCAACGCTGTGCAGCCGACTTACTACAGCGTTGGCACACCGCGGACTCGAAACGTTGGCAAGCCGCGACTCTGCTCTGCTGGAGCGCGGTCGACCAAGTCGTGCTGGCACGCGGTCGACCGTGCTGCGCTGGCAGTCGACCAGCAGCCTTGCTAGGTCTGATGTAGTCTGTGTTGCCAATGTTGATTCAATCATTCTGAACTTTTGTTGTCATGTTTTCCTAGTGGAACTCTTGCCAATTTTCCCCGTGAACTAGCAAGCAGTGTTAGCACTTGGAAACGACTAAGGAACGAACGAACGCTACGATCACTCTTGCCCCGTGCCTAGCCCGTAGTCTAGCTCCCGTTGCACTAGTTATCTCCGCACGCCCCTCTATTCTTCCTCCCCCTTCTGGTATCATTGCTGCTGCCCACGTCGGCCTCCTGCTTCTCTCTGTTGGCCTGGGCAGATAAGCCTCGTACTTTCTCTGTGCGAGCTCCACCCTTTCTGCCAGATCAAACACCTCTTCTAGGCTTGCCTCCGCGCCCAGCTCATACACTCTCATCCTCAACCCCCCCCCAAGAGCCTCGTCTAGGCCTCCTAGGAACTTGCTGATGAGAAGGCTGTTCTCCGTGCATCTCACGTCTTCCGCCACGTTAATCAATCTGTTGTAGTAGGTCAGCAATGACTCCGTCCGGCCCCTCCTAAATTTCTGGAATTCCCTTATGTGCTCCGCCGTGTGCCCTGGGAATTGCCGCTGCAGTCTCTCCAGAAATGCCTCGGTGGGGTCTTCTCCGTACCTTCCTGCCCTCCAGAGTAGTTCCTCCATCCTCATGCGGTACAGGGTCTCGGCCTCTCCCTCCAATGTGTTCGGTAGGCTCATGAAGAAGTCCACCGGGTCCATATCGTGCCTGTCGCAGCGGTACCGCACATTCCCCATCTGCATCAGGTAATTCTTGAGGGTAGGCCCCGCGCGCTGATCCCCCCCGCAACCTGGCGGGCACCTCCACTCGCGGGGTGCTGGCCACACCCCCTCGCCCCTCTCCCCATGCCTCACTGGCTCCCCTTTGCCAGCGTCTCTCAGCTCCTCTCTCCCTTGCCCTTTGCATGCCTTCTCTTGCCTCCCGTGCCCGTTCTGCGCCGTACACCAGGCTTACGCCCTTCGCCCTGCTCTCTTAGCGGCTCCCTTCCGCCCCGCGGTGCCTTTCCCTCGGCCCTGCCCACTCTTCCGCCCGTCCCCATTGCTGCGTGGGCGGGTCGTGCGTCCTCCGCCCTTCCCACCTCCTGATGCCGCGCTGCTGCTGCCTCTCTGGTGACGGTGACCAGGTGCCTTCCCTCCTGCTGCGCTGCTGGTGGAGCTCTGGCGAGTGCCTTTCTTTTCCGTACTTCTCCCTCTGCGGGCGGCGCCACTCGGGCGAGCGGGACCCGCTACTATCCCTCTCTTCTCTTCGCCTCAGCCAACCCGGCGAGCGCCCCATGCCACTGTGTTCCCCGTGCTGCTGACCGCGGCGCTCCTGTGACCCCCGCTCCTCCCCGTGCCTTCCTTCCTGCCACCGCGGCGCCCGTGCGGCTCCGGTGAGCGCGACTCATCCTTCTTTCTGCCACTGCGCGCTCGCTGCAGTTCTGGCGAACGCACACCGCCGCCGCTCGAGCCGACCTGCTCCTGTCGCCTACCATACGGCGGAAGTCGCCTACGCGCCATTCTCCATGGTGCGGATCCTTCTCCAGCATGCACGACCGCTCTGCCTTCCCCTTGCCATGCAGCCTCTGCGCCAGTGCAGCTCGAACGCCGTCGTCTGGCGTCACTCGCTCCTGGCGCAGTGAGCCCTCCGCTCGCTGCTCTTCCCCACGGCTGACGTCTCGGTCGCGCGCTTCCCTCAGCGCGGCCCTCGATTCTTCGGCTGCCGCTTGGCTCGCGCCAGCGCTCTCGTCTGCCTGCGCGGGTTCAGCCTCACCCGTTCCCGCTGCCTGGTCGTCGCCGTCCTTTCCTTCATCGGCCTCTTCGACCTGCAGCCCCGGGTGCTCCTCATCTTCTTCCGCGCCTTGCTCCGCTGCCACGTTCTCTTGCAGGATCCCCACTGGGTCGTCGCCACCCATGTCTCCTCCCCGTCCCCGGCGACGTTCCCCGAAACCTCGCCAACAGCCTCTCTCATCCCGGCGCCGCTCTCGCTCTTCCGGAGAGCGGAACACTTCTGCGTCGCGGCGGGTTCCACGGTCCTCGCCAGGTCCGCGTGCTCTCTCTTGCAGCAAAGCGTCTCTATCCATGCTGCCGCCGTGCCCGTCGTCGCCTGCTCCCACGCCCATCGATCCTTCTTCTCGACGGTCCCGTGCGAGAGGGATTCGATCCGCGCGAAAGGCCGGGCGGTGCGGCGATCGCTCCAATGACCGCCCTCGTTCGCGTGATGGCTCGCGTCACGGCCGTTCCTCCTCCCGGCGGCTGAACATCCTACCCCAACGCAATTCGTACTTATCCATATCTACTCTGCTCGTTACTGCTCCCTTTTGAGATTGTAATAAAAGAGCTTAGTCCCTCAACCCGTAGGTTCCCTCTTAGTGACATGCCTCAGTGTGCTAGAGCGAAGATAGCAACTTTCACTAGTTCAAGGGGTTGGACGTGAGTGCCCTTACCCATGTTAGAGACTAAGGACGGAGTCTATGAAGATTAGGAGCCGAAATATCAAAAAATCGTTCACGGTCGCGCTCACAGCCGAAATATCTCAATTTCTGGACAGAACAGTCGCGCTCACAAGAAACGCCGTCGACGAAAAGTTCATGGTCAAAACTTCACCAAACTCAGATATTTTGTAGCCCTAGTCCGTGGCTACAATTCTCAATTTGAATCGTATCAAGAGGTGAAGTAAATCTCGACTTATCAATTTCGGCGCATAGGGGGGTGTGCTGCCATGAGAACTTAACTCAATGATGAGAGTCTCACAATTACACAAATTACTACACAAGAGAGTTAGAGTAGCAATAAACCAGGTGGAAGGGGATGATGAGGACGAGAGGGAAGGTCCCAAGAGAGTCCCCAACCAAGGAAACCCCATGCCATACAATTTCCCTCTCCATAGGCAACCCCACTTTCACTTTTGTCACTTTCTCAACCTCCACAATCCACCTCACCCAAGTTGGCCACACTTGCCAACCCAATTTGGTTTCTCCCAACCACTTGGCAGCAACTACAGTGATGGGGACGAATTTCCCAACCCCCAAAAGTCTGTACCCCATATTGAGTCAACCTGCAAAATTCCATAGTCGCCGCACCACAACCATAACTTAGAACGATCACAACTTTCTCGTTCGCGCTCCGATTGAAGCGATCCTTGGCTCGTCGGAAAGCTCTTGAGCAGAGAAGTTACTTCAGATGTCTGCTCAAGCCAAATAACATACACACACACTCAAACAATCCAAACCACACCAAACACAAATTCTTGCACACGCTCACACCACGCATGAAACGCACGAACATGTGATGGGAGGCAGACAGATGTGAATGCAAGTGATAACATCGCATAACAACCCAACCCCAGGCTGCACATTTCCAAATGTGCGGCTCGGGGTTTGGGATGGACTGGTTTCAGATTTCGCCCTTCGGTGTCTTTTCCCCTTTTTATCCCAGCCGCTCTTATCCCGTTTCCCCCCTTCTACACCCCATTCTAAACAGTCACCTCGCTACATTCTACACCTTCAGCCTATTTCTATTCAATCTTATTATATCCAGCTATTCTTCTTGTGCTAGCAACCTAGAGCCCTGCCAATACCCTCACCCTATTGTTATGGCATATGCATTAGGTGCATATGCTGTGACAATCCTGGAAGTCCACAGGCACTTACGTCGACGAGGTTCCCCCACCTGAGGCGAACATCGTCAGTGGCATGTGGATTTTCAGGGTGAAGCGGCCGCCGGGTTCTCCGCCTGTCTTCAAGGCGCGTTACGTTGCACAACGCTTCAGTCAGCGACAGGGAGTTGACTTCTTCCAGACCTTCTACCCTACCCCGAAGATGACCACTCTTCAAGTGCTGCTGCACGTCGCCGCTTAGCGTGACTACGAGCTTCACTCTCTTGACTTCAGCACTGCGTTCCTACCAGGGCAGCCTGCACGAGGAGATCTGGCTGCGCCGCCCACCTGGCTTTACTGGTTCGTTCCCTCCTGGTACCCACTGGAGCCTCCAGCGGCCAGTCTATGGTCTCCGCCAGGCGCCTCGCGAGTGGCACGACACACTGAGGACGACCCTTGCGGCTCTTGGCTTTGCTCCCTCTACTGCTGATCCGTCGCTGTTTCTACGCACTGACACTTTGCTGCCGCCGTTCTACATCCTCGTGTACGTTGACGACTTGGTTTTTGCCACTGCTGACACTGAGGCACTGACTCTAGTGAAGTCGGAGCTGCAGAATAGACACACGTGCACAGACCTAGGTGAACTGCACGGCCATCTTGGCTTGCAGATCACCCGGGACAGACCACGGCGCACCATTACCTTGACTCAGTCACACATGGTGCAGCAGGTCCTTCAGCGCTTCGACTTCCAGTACTCCTCGCCACAGGCCAAACCTGTGCCTACTGGTCACTCGCTCTCAGCTCTGCCTTCGGATGAGTCCGTAGAGCCGAGTGGCCCGTATCCAGAGCTTGTGGGCTGCCACATGTACCTGATGACCTGCACTCGACCTGACCTTGCTTACCCTCTTAGCATCCTTGCACGCTACGTTGCACCCGGGAGACACCGACCAGAGCACTGGAAGGCCGATAAGAGGGTGATGCGCTACTTGTGCAGTACGACGGGCATGGGGCTCGTGCTTGGAGGACGAAGTCGAGTTGTCCTCACTGGTCACACAGACGCTTCTTGGGTTGACGACTTGGCTACTCAGCGGTCGTCACAGGGTTACACCTTCAGCCTTGGTTCCAGCTCTGTTTCCTGGCGGTCTACCCGCTCGTCTTCTGTTCTCAGCTCCAGCTATGAGGCTGAGATCTACACAGGGCTGGCTGCACAGGAGTTACGCTGGCTCACCTACCTGCTGACCGACCTGGGAGAGGCACCTCGTTCTCCTCCAGTTCTGTACGTCAACAACAAGGCCATAATTGCCTTGTGTCAGGAGCACAGACTGGAGCAGAGGACGAAGCACATTGCTCTACGCTACTTCCTTGTTCCAGAGTTGCAGCAGCGTGGTCAGCTTCGTCTTGCTTACGTGGCCTCTCGGGCCAACACTGCTGATATCTTCACCAAGGCACTTCAGCCTTGTGATCATCAGCGTTTCTGTACTGTTCTAGGTCTTGTGCCTATCTGGCCTCACTTGCTCACTTCTTGACTTTGCTTGTACTGTGATCAATATACTTATACATGCATGCTTACACTTGCTAGGTTGTGATCATTGTACTGTTTGTTCTCCTTTATATATAACTCTGCATGTAAACTGGCCTTGTGGCCATTTGCTTGTGCTCAGAATGCGTGGTGACTTCGTGATCCACCCTGAGCTTGCTTAGCCTTTCTTGACTGGTCTTGTGACCTCTTGTTCTCTCCCACTTTGCCTATGGGGGTGTGTCAAACTATATGTGCTGCTTGTTGTGTAGGCTGTAGTGGGGTAGCCTATATGGGGTACAACACAAATCAGGGCTTCCTACTTGTACCCGCCCTGCTGCTAGTTCATTCATTCCTGTTCTTTATTCTGACATCGGCTGCAATTGACCCGCCTTTCTTTTTTACGAGCTCTTCATCGCCTGACACGTAGGACACGAGCCTACATGGTGCTGTACGTTGGTCAACAACTCTGGCCAGTAGTAATACCGCTGCATTTGCTGTCGCGTTTTTTCTACCCCAAAATGTCCCGAGGTAATTGTTAATAGCTATAGTCTATGCGGATGCGTTTAAAACTTCACTACAAGCTGAAAACTAAGCAACACTTAACGTCCCTTAAGGCCCTCCAAGTGTGACAGCTTGTCACCTCCTAGCCAAGGGCCTAGAAAAAACATATAAGAGGGTAGTCATGCTTAGCTCGCTTTTAGGGTGAGAGATCTGGTCGAGCAGTGTTTCGGCAGCACCATGTAAGCATTTCTACTCTCGTCAATACGTAGTAGTAGAATTCCAGAGTGAAAACATAATAGCATTGATTGATCCAAGCAAGTACAAGCATGCATTTTATATACACTCCTAAGCACACAGAAGGAAAACACACAAAACGGTTGCTTAACTGGAGTTCAGGACTTCGCCTGATATGACAAAGAAAACAGTTGTCAAACTGCTGCGGAATTCGGCTTGATTTGCCTGTTGAAGAAAATTGTCTTCAAATTTCATGTCTGCCAAATGCCCTTGCTGACTCCACACATGAGTGCTCATGAATTCTCGTTGGCAATTATGAACACTCGTTTACCGTTTTCACTGTTGAAAAACGGTTTTCACCGTTTTCTCCCTGTATCGAAAATGTCGAGTTACACGCACGACGTTTCCGGCGAAGCTACTTTGCGTGCCAGATGTCTTCGCCAGCGCGATGTCCAGGTGAATGCCTGTACAAGTCGGAGTTGGAGTAGAATCTTGCGGCGCTTCTGTGGACTTCTCGTGGAGTGGGAGTCAACTGCTGCGCAGGAGTCGGTCGAGTATCGTCGTCGATTGGGGCTGGTGCCGTTGAAGGACCCGCGATTGGTGTCGTGATCGGTGTTGTCTCTGCTACTGTCGATGTTGTCTCTGCTGCTGCCGATGTTGTCTCCGCTGCTGCCGATGTTGTCTCTGCTACTGCCGATGTTGTCTCTGCTGCTGCCGATGTTGTCTCTGCTGCTGCCGATATTGTCTCTGCTTGTTGGATTGTCGCTATTGCTCGTGTTCGTTCTTCCTCAGGTACGGTGTTCGAGTACCAAAAGCCACCGGAACTGAAGCCGGGGTCGAGATCCGGCGGATGTGTCAAACAAGCGAAGGTTACGATCCCGTCGCTGTCGGCGGTGCCTTGATCTGGAACGAAGTCGAGAACGAAGACATTATTCTTTAGCACTACCTTGCCGATGTAGAGACCTCCTTTCCCGTGGTACAACTTAAACTCCCGTGTGGTGCTGTCTGCTTTGAGGTGGATGCCCTTCGCCATCAACTGGCTGACTCTGAGTAAGTTGTAGCCG